GACTGGCTCAGGTACCCACAACTCCATATACTCCTCGGTCGACAAACACGAAACAAACCATTTGTAAAGCCCGAGTACCAAGATGCCGTTCGGCATTTATAAGTACTAAATGACAAGTTCTCCATCACCACAGGCGGCTCGTCACTGAGAAGACGACTGTTGTCAACAGCACCACATGGCACATCCAGAGGGCCGTTGATAATCTGCAGAGTCAGAACAATCCAAGACCCACTTAGTGCCTTGAGCACCCGTCTCAGCTTAAGGAACCACGAATTGATGTCGAAATCGGGATCATCCTCACGTGAAGAGAGGAATACATTTGAGTGCCACATCTTGGAAGTAGTGGTCGTGAAAGAGAATGTGTCCGGCACCTGGTGAATACCGGCATTGAAATTAAAAGTGTGAATGTTCGGGGTACAAATCATAGCTCCTTTAAGCGGTATTTTACTTGTGAAGATGCTTAAGAACTTGACTGAATCACTTGCAAGATGGAATTCCTCGAAACCGGAGCAATCATGTAGGGCCAAGTTCGCAAGAGTTGGGCAGCCGAATGATAACAGGTCGATCGACTCGCTCGACATGATCACATTCCAGAGATGCAAACTCGTGAGACGAGAGAACAATAATGTGCTTTGGCGGTGAGACCAAATCCATGGGCCATTGATAAAGACTGTCTCGAGATTTGGGACATCGATTTCGATGCTACGCCCTTCAATAATCTTGATATCAAACAACGTAAAGTGCTTGAGCTCAGGCGCCACGCTCAGCCTTATGTTTCTCAACTCACAACAATTATTAAGTGCCAGGCGCCTGAGCAAAGGGCATCCCAACGTTTTCGTCTCCAAAGTCCCGCCATCAACTTGGACAAAATCGAGGGTGAGTGTGCGCAGGCATTTGAACCGCACGCTCTCAACCGGGCTCAGCTTGCATTTGCACAGGTGTAGTTCTTCGAGGGACTCGGATAAGAAGACTGCCGAGGGCAGGCTGTAATAGGGCGGAGGATACCAAAGAGAGTTGAGTTTGAAAGACTTGTGTATGAAGAGGTTTTGATCAAGGTATCCTTGTAGGATTCGGTTGACTACGGAGACAAAGTTTTTGTCGAATTTGTTTTCGTAAGACTTGAGGTTGCGGCGAGCTAATCGTGTGGAGCGCCTGACGGTGACGGAGACAACCTTTTCTTGTGTGTTGTCGAACCATTCTTCGAAGAATTCGAGGTTGGGGCGGGTCGATCCTACGTGGCGCCATTGTTTGGAGAGTAGACAAGTTCTCACAGCTTCTTTCTGAGAGAGGAAACAGAGAACGTGGTGACGTATAGGTATTGGCAGTTGCGATATTCTGTCGTCGTCCATAGCTACGGTGGTGTTCTCCTGCTCTGTTTCAGCCGTCTGCTTTTGCTTTTTCATGGTCGTAGGCGATGATTAGTGTGATGTGATGTGAGAACGAACGACTTTGTGGTCTGTTAATGAACTAACCCTACTGCTGCCGGTTATTGTTTTAATAAAAGTAAGGCAATTTGTTAACTAAAACGAGAGAGAGAGAGAGAGAGAGAGAGAGAGAGAGAGAGAACTATATCTCTTTGATTAAGAAAGAATTTAATCGTATTTAAAATATAGAAAATTTGTTAAATTTAGCAACCTTTTCAATATGATAATAAATAGAGATACGGAAAATCTTATTTAGAATTTTCATTTGAGATATATGTAAATATTGAGATACAAAAATCGGACTACGTCTCTCATATAGTTTTTTAATATTGGCTAGTAGTTAATCTGTATATATATAGTTTTTTAATGCCTTTCTTTTGTGTTATACTCTCTGAAAAATAACTCGAATTCGCTACTATAATTTGTAATTATTATTATTATTTCTAATTTTGATTGGAAGCTAACCCAGTATAGTTGAATTTTTTGTTTTCTATCATTCTGATTATAACGGTTGCAAAATAAATTATATTTTGACATATAATATTTCATAAAACTTACATATATTATTTTTCTCGATATTATAACATAAGAGATATAAATATTTGAAAATATTTTTAAAGTCGTAATTATTTAAAAAATAAATATATATTTGAAAACTATTAGGAACAAGAACATCCTTGATTGATTAAATGTACACAACTATCTATATATATTGTCGTAACATTGGTTGATTGAATGTACCTACCAATATATATTGTCCAAAAAAAAAAAAATTTGTTGCATCTCCTGACATGACAATGCATGCATTATCATTTTTCGTTCACGGATTTTCAAGACTATCATAAAAGATAAAAATCAATTATTTATCACATATCAAATAATCATATACTATTACAACACTAGTGTAATACACGGGTGCTTGCTAATTTTTTTTTTAATTTAAAACTAATGGAAAAAGTGGTTGAAAAATTAAATATCTTTTATAAAAAATATATATTATTATATATTTTTGTATGATACTTGTTCCTTGTGCGACTTACCTGTGTCATATTATAATAAATTTTCTAACTTATATCATATAACTACATTAAACATAAATATATTAATTGAGAAATATTTTTTATTTTCCTAATTAATTTAATAAATAATTTTATTCTTAATTTGAAGATAAATAATAAAATTTTGAAGATAAAAATAATTTATTTATTTTATATATGCAATATGGATGTCAAATCAAAGCTCATCAAAAGATGATTAATTTGATATATTATATATGCAAAACTAATAAGAAATACAAAAGTTATAAATTTTTAAAATATATTTAAAAAGTCAGGGTTATTAATCACTTAGTGCTGCACTATTTAAGATTACAAAGAATTAATGAGTTATAGTAGTATAAGTGTTATTAAATTACTAAAGTTAGCTTAATAATATTTATGGAATGTCCGAACATAAGTTATGGAATGTCCGAACCTAAAATTATTAATGTATAATATCAATATTAGTTGTCCAAACTAAAATACGAAGCATGATTCTTCGCCAAAGTAGGATTCCGAAGCACCATAAGCAACCACGTAGGCTCAACGCATTCGAGAATTATTTATATGGCATTGAATTAGAATAATTAATTTGTACTTAAATGATAGAAAGTCCTAAATTATAGTTTAATGTTCTAAAATTTTAAAATTATAAGCTCTTCATACATGTAATTTATTTTATAACTATAAAGATAGATATAAGTAAATATTTGAAGACATAGTGAAGAAAATAAAGGTAATTTTTAAATAATATGTATCACATATTAAAAGTAATAGTTATTATTTGTCTTAATATTTATTATTTCTTATATATATTACCAACTTTTTTAAATAGTGGAAGCATCATACTAACCTTTTTAGACTTTCTCAATTTCACAACACAAATATCCACCATAAATAATGAAAATACGACCATGATAAAACAAAAATGAATTATAATATCACAATACTAAAATATCCAAAAGAAATCATAAAAATGCTACAAATATCCAAAAGTTAGGTTTCTTTTTCTTAAGGGTAATTGGAATTAAATTAAATGAATAACAAGTGAATATATAAGTTAAAATAACTCTTTCTAAACTAAAAAACATACAAGTCCGCTGAAAACCGAAAATTCTTTCCTTCTTCCCGCATCCCCAATCTCAGCAATCCTTTGAAATTCTCCGCCTCCTTCCCAGGTAGGGCACGTCGAGTGCTCGGCGGTGGCTTCTCTGGGCCCTGCAGTTCGCATATGAGAGCGGCGCCGATGGAGGGGGCTTTTTCGCCGGGGAGTAGCTTGCGCCGTCCTTCGGTCTTCAGCCTCTGGTGCCAGAAACGAGGGGCGGGTATTCGTTTCTCCTCCGGTATCTCTACAGCGGCAGCCTCCAGCGCTCTCTCGGCGCGAGCTGCGACCCCAATCTCTCGATTTAGGGTTTGGGGTGGAGATAGGGTTCCGGCCAATTGGTTACTCCTGTTCCGGGTGCAGTGCGTGGGAGTCATGTGGTGGTCGTCGACTGTTGGGTGGGTGCTGAATCTGGGCCTCGCTGTCGCCGGTCGAGCGGGTGAGGAGCTCTGGTGTCGTGTTCGCCTAAGATTGAATGGCTGGCTTATGTGCATGCTAGGCTAGGAGGGGCTGATTGGTTCGGGCTGGGCATGGCTGGCTTGTGATGCAACGGGCTGGGCTTCGCAGGGTCAGGCTGGGCTGGTCAGGTTGGCCAGGGGTCTTTGTCTCCGGGTGGCAGTAGAGTTGTTAGTCTGGACAAGGGTAAGGTCCGTTGGTTCTTGATTCAGTTAGGCGTTCTCTTGCAGTTTTTGGGTCAAGATCTTGGACCGAGACTTTTCCGTTGTGTGCTCGATGTGATTTCTGCTGTGGGAAGGGCTCCCGTTTTATTTTGTTTTTGTTGTTGCTTGAGTCTGTTTAGTTAAGTGTTTTTGGTCTGGGCTCTTTGCCTGAGTGTTTAATGTATTGTCTCTTTGGTCTGGGCCGTTGGCCTCCGTGCTGATTACCCCGTGGGGGCCGATCCTATTCTCCTGTGGGGAGCGATTCTTGTTGTACTGTTTGAGTCTGTTTGTGATTTTTTGGTCTTGTTTTTTAGGTTTGTGCCGTTGGCCCCGATTTTGATTCCCCTGTAGAGGGCGTTTTTATTCTCCTGTGGGGAGCGTTCGTAGTTGGTCTGTTGGTGTCTTTTTTTGTGTGTAGTGTGGTTTATATTCAAGCTTGGCTAGCGAGGCTAGCTTTAGGCGGTCTTTCGATCCGTCCTCCCAGTTTCTAGTTCTTGGTTGTAATATTCAGCCATGGGTTGCTTTGTTGCACACTTGTGCATTTTGATATATGATACCTCTATCGTTTCGAACAAAAAAAAAAAGTGAATATATAAGTTATAATTTATTGTTTTGACTCTATTTTTGGTTACTTGTAAGATAACTACATTATAACAGATTAATATGTATATTTTTGTATAATGATTCTCTTTAGTTGCCTATAGGAATTGATTTTACCATAATTTAGAGATACGTGAAAGTTATGGTGTAGCCGTCCAGTATATTTGTAAAATCTTCTTTATTAATTATAAAATATAATATACATACTTTTTAGATATGGTATTCTCTAATTTTTTTTTCTTATCAGCCTTTTTAAATAAAAAATAATTAAATATTTTAGGTATTTCAGTGTATCCTAAATGTGGAAGCATCATATTAACTTTTCTCAATTTTCTTTAATTTACAAAACATGCCCACTACAAATAACGAATATGCAAGTATGATAATACAAAAAGTAA